TAGAGAAGCAAAATCAGAGTAGGATGGAGGAATAATTCAGTGATGAACAGTAAAAATAAAGATATTCAAACTGGAATGCTGTTGGAGGGTGACTATAGTGGTGGTGGTCCAGGAACTATATGAGAAACAATTATTTCTATAGTGATATCTTTTCCTAGATTAATGGTATATTTGGGAGAGATACTAGGCAAGATCTAATAGACAAAGTGCCCTTTCTTGGTTATGCATATATGGAGGAAAATAACCCAAAATGCAACCCGCAACACACCTCTGAAGCTGAGAACTTAAAATAGAATAGGAAAGTGAAGCACAAGTTTAGCATGAGCTTGTAATGCAACAGCAATTGGCATCTGTCTGGAGCAGTTTTACATGAAAAACAAGGGGCGGGGGGCAACCGGGATACTTAGGCTTCAAAAGCTTGAGGCTAGTTGTTTTATTGCAAGAACCCCAGGTATAGTGGTGTGGGTTGTGGTGTGTTTACTGGCAGGTACAGAATGCAGCCTCTTAGCAGCAATGTCTTATGACCGGTATTTGGCAATATGCAAACCACTGCATTATGCATCTCTTATGAATGGAAGATTCTGTTTACAGCTAGCAGTCATGTCCTGGATAAGTAGTTTGCTAGGTATTAGTATAACAGTACTTTTAATGCTAAATTTAACCTTTTGTGGCCCTAATGAAATTGACCATTTCTTTTGTGATTTTATCCCAATCATAACATTTTTCTGCAGTGACACATTCTTGGTGGAAGTTCTAGTTGCCGTTCTAGTTGCTATGTGCACTTTTCCAACATTTTTATTAACAATGACATCTTACATTTGTATCATCACAACCATCCTGAAAATCAGCTCTACCTCCAAGAGGCAAAAGGCTTTTTCTACCTGCTCGTCCCACCTCACTGTAGTGGCAATATTTTATGGGACCATATTTATTGTGTATGTGCTACCAAAACAAGACAGCCTGAGAAACTTGGATAAAGTATTCTCTTTCTACTACACTGTCCTCACTCCTCTAGTTAACCCCCTCATATACAGCTTGAGAAACAGAGGTAAGGGAGGCCCTGAGAAAAGTTGTTACTAAATTCTGTGTTGTTAAAGGGATTCATATTTCCCTATGTTGATGTGTTCAGCACAAATACATTAGAAATAAATGTTGGTTTGCTTTAATGCATCTGTGTTACCAGAACCACTAGACATTGTCTTTGTATGTGAAGTCAATGGCCACCAGGATTTTCCACCAAAACAGAACAATGCTGACACTTGTGTTGTTTGACATGTGTCCCCTGCTCTCCCAGTCTCCTCTTTCCTACTTGCTGCTGCCTATGTCCCCAGCTCTCTCCGGGGTGGAAGATCTAGAGCTGCCCCTGCCCTGTCCCACCTGGGTTTTGTGTTGAGCTGAGATAAAGTGAGAACATAGGCAGCAGATGGAGCAGTAGGTGAGGTTCACTTTCCTACACCTGGGCTGTGGGGAAACCTGGAAGCATCATTTGGGGAAGTGAAACTCACCTGCTAAGGCTCTTTTAAAATCATAAATAGAATCAAAATAGAGCCCTTTATCTCTTCCTCGTGGCTAGTCACACATGTTCTTTCTTAGTTCCATTCCCCGAGAAAACCACAAGAAAAAGATCTAGAGCAATCTCCGTTTATGTCTCTGCATTGGATATATTTCTGTTTCAATTACACCGTGTGAGGGTTCACAGACTCACATATACACAAACATGGATTACACAAAATCAATGTATCTGTTTACTGACCCATCCATCTGTGACTCTGAGTTGTCTCCTCATTCTATGTTCACAACAGGCAGCACAGTGCAAAAAGTGCATTGGAGAGTTACTGATGGGTTTGTAGCCCTGCATTAATACAATACAGAATAAAAATGGGTTTTATCACTGTTTGGTAGAGGAAGTTACTGGCTGTTGGAGCTACCTTTAGAATACTCTGTATCCTCCCAGATACGTTAATCTACTGCCCAGAGGAAATCTCTGGGTAGGAGAAAGAAAAGGTGGACAACATGTCTCTGGATTCTTCTATTATTACACTGCAGATTAGATGACAAAAATAAGTAGGTGCCACAGAAAAGGAAAATACAGGGTGAGATTACATGTTAGGGATTGAATGTTAATCTCTGTTACACAGAGATCAATCACACAGAATCATGGGCACTTATACACATGATGATTTCCACCATTTAAAGAGGACTAAAGTCACCTATTAATACATGTGCCAAACTTTAGAGGACTTTTAAAGATACAGAAATCTCCTTAATTAAAACTGGTTGGATGTGTTTGAAATGTAAGGTAAAATGTGGTTGTGCATATCAGAAGACCCCTATCTTCTTAATTGCATCTGTATTTAACTGGGCTTTCTAAGTGGTAATTACTAGTTGCTACCACGAGGTGTAGCAAGCCAGCTCTACAGCCAACAGCCCCATATCAGGATGATTCAAACCATTCTCCTTTGTGTAACTTAACTGAAGAAATAAATACCAAAACTAAAAATAATCATCTTTGCCTGTGTAGGTTTATATGTTCATTTATTCAAAATATACCATTGGGTGGTGAAAAGACCTTGCAAGATTGGGAAATGGGGAGCCAATCTCCCCACCCCAACAAATGCACTACATTCAGGGCTGCAAGCTCTATTTTGGGGTGCCAGCAAGGGAAGCCTTTGTTTGGGGGAAGAGAACCCACCCCCCCCATGAGACTGCTGAAGCCCCAGGGACCTCAGAACCACCCCCGCCCTCCCCCCCACCCCCGAGTACCATGAAATCTCCAGGGAGTGGGCAAATCCTCAAGTGCAACTGGAATAAACCCCACCCCGCCTCCCCTTCCCACATTGCACCAGCAGGAGTTGAGACTCCCAGAAGGAGGAACCCCCCCACAAGAACCCCCAAAGCCCCCCAGAAAGTTCCCCCACAGGGTTCCATAAATGCTGTTGTGAGAGGGTAAGACACTTAATCCTCCCATTGCAGTATCAAGATCTCAAACTGAGCAAGGGGTGGGATCCCCGCCCTGGTTCCCCCCTCAGACACCAGTCAGCATGTGGATTGCAGGAGGGTCACTGTCCCCACCCCACATCTGCTCCAGCAGGCACTCCATGCCACCACCACTGCTCTCAGCGGCAGAGCTTGGGTTGTGGCTTCTATCTTGGCTACTCTCTGTGCCCCTGCCAGAAACAGAGACCCCCAAAAGTCACCCCACAGGGTCATATGCACACTATGGGCCGTGGGTAAAACATCTGCCCCCCCCCCCCCCCCCTTGTTGACCGATGTTGGGAACCCCGCCCATGACACCCTCCAAAGCCCCAGAGACCCCCAACCCTCTTCCCCTGCAGGGTCCCGTGCAAACTTGGGGGAAGTGGGTTAAACACATATGGCTTTTTAGAGTCAGAACTTTCTCTTTATGGTGTTGATTGAAAGAGACAGTCCTGGTAGATTGGCCAGCTACTGCTCATTAGCAACTAGTTATGGCAAAGTGAATGGAAGACATAGGTTCATAGTTTCATAGTTTTAGGGTCGGAAGGGACCTAATAGATCTTCTAGCCCGACCCCCCGCCAGGGCGGGAGAACAACAAAAAACCCTAAAAACAAAAACGGGACTCAAATGAGTCCAGCCAGGTAGGCATCCAGCCTCTTCTTAAAGACCCCCAGGGTAGGGGCCAGCACCACCTCCCTTGGAAGGGAGGGACAGGACTGGGGTCTCACTGAATTCACAGTTTGAACCCTAGGAGCAGCCTCAATTCCCCACCCCCACCCCACTATTGCTGCAGGGTGAGCTGGCACACTGGGAGGGGGGGTCATCACACCCCCAAAGCACCAGAGCCCCTGAAAAGCACCAGGGGGGGCATGGTGTACAGGGACCCCAGGAGCAGGCATGGAGGGAGAACATCCACAGCTGCACTTCTGCTCTTGGACTGATCAGGGCAGAGATGCAGTATTCCAAGAGTGGAAGGGCTAAGGGGAGCAGAAGAGTAACTGAGGTGTCAGGAGAATGATTTGGGAGTGGAGGGGGTGATTTGGGGGAGAGAGGGGCACCAGCTTGGCAGCTCCCCTGCACCCACCTGCTCCCCCCTTTCCCCCTCCTTCCTGCTTCCTCCAACCTCCCCCGCCCCACACTCCTTCCCCATGCTCCTCCCCCCTGGCTGCTCTACTTCCCTTCCCCAATTTTCCCTCCCTACTCACCCCATCCCCACCCATCTGTTTCCTGGCAGTTACCAGCTGTCACTCCAAAGCCATAGAGTCCTGGATGATAGCTAGGTCACATGAAAGCAATCCCTCCTAGGATATGGTGGTTTGATCTCAGATGAACACCCAGTTGAACTTAACTCAAACTAGTTAGCAGAACAGAAAGGTATTCCTGGCCCAAAGTGGCATACATTTAAAACACCTAAAGGCAACCTTGGCTTGATGCTGTTGATAAAGGTCTTGGGCTGTGCCATGCCCAGGGCCCCAGGTTTATGCATGCACAGATCCTGCTGGCATGATGCAAAGGAACAGGAGGGAGGAGAAGGGCAGACAGGGGGATAAAGACTGCATGAGGGGAAAAGAGGGGAATGGGCTGCAGGGATGCAGAGGCAGTAGGGAGGTCCAGGGGACAAGCAGGAGCTTCAGCTATGGCCTTAACCTTTGGTACGGGTTGCAGCCCAAGGCACAAAGGCTGCTTCCCACCCACCACCACCCTCCCACTTGACTCTTAAGACAAGGGTATTTTCCTCCATGTTAACTTTATGTTAAATGGGAAGGAGGGAAGATATGAGGTTCCTGGGGTGTTGTGTCAGGCACAGGTTGAAACATCACTCAAATCTTCTTTGTGTTGATAGTCAGTCCAAAGTTGTTATAGGCTGATGAGAATACGTCCATGGACTGTTGCATGTTAGCCTGTCAGCCTGCACATAACACATAATCATCAGTGAAGAGGAAGTTGCAAAGTGTGGCTGTCTGGACTTTGGAGCTTGCCCAGAGCTTGTGCAGATTGAAGATGTCTCCATCAAAACAGTACCTGATCCCCATACCAAGGTCATAATCTTGGAAGGCATCCAAGAGAATAGAAGAGAATACCATGCTGAAGAGGATAGGTGTGAGCACAAAGCCCTACTTGAAGCCATTTGTGACTGGAAAGTGGTTAGAGCATTTGCCATTCAAAAGGACGTGTGCCATCATGCCATCCTAGAACTGTAGAACCATATGGATGAACTTTCCAGGGCATCTGTACTTCTTCATGATTTCCCAGAGACCTTAGTGGTTCACTGTGTCAAAGGCTTTGGTTAGGTCATTGAATGTGAGAAGGTTGATGTTCTGTTCCTGGCACTTTTCTTGAAGGTGCTGGTCCACAAACACCATGTTGGTGGTTCTGCTTCCTTTTCTGAAACTGGATTGGCTTTCAGGCAGTAGGTCATTTAGATGGTTGGTCAGCCGGTTGAGGAGGACTCTTGAGAATATTTTGCCATCAGTTGAGAGGAGGGACATGCCACTGTGGTTGTCACAGAGTTGGCAATTTGACTTCCTCTTGTACAGGTGCATGAAGGAGGCATCTTTGAATTCTTGAGGGACTACCTCCTGCACCCACATACTGCAGAAGATCTCAGTTAGTTTCTCTGTGAGGCTGTGACCACCTAATTTGTAGACCTCCACTGGAATCACATTGGCTCCAGGAGCTTTGCCACTAGGCATTTGTTGTATGGCCTTTTGGACTTCCATAGTTGTAGGAGGATCTTCAAGCAAGGTGTTGATGGTGATTTGAGGCAGCTTGTGTATGGTGTCCATGTTGATAGAGGAAGTTTCATTGAGGACAGTTACAACAAATAAATAAGCTACACATAAGGTTACCCAAACAACACACCAAAACCCAACCACTTCATTTTCCCCCTCCTGCCAATCCCAACCACATCTCCCAACCACCACTCACATGCAATTACAAGAAACCACCCCTCCCACCAACACCCCACACTCACCTCTTCCTACCACCCCACCTCACCTCCTGGGAAGACTCTCCCACCCACCCCAAACTCTTCTAAAGAGGGTGTGCAGATGTCACCCCCCTCCCCATCAAAAATTAAGTTGAACTGTTCCCCCTTTTCTTACCAAACAACAAAAGCACCAAAGATGTGTACCAAAAAAAATAAAAGAAAGACTCTGTCTCCATGTTTTGATCACCTCTGAAAGGCAACAGCAACACCCTTAAGTGGTTCCTGCCCAGGGATGCCTGCCAGCTTTGTAGAATCAGCAGGCTGCCTAGCTTTCTCTCCTTCCTGTGGGTGGACAAAATGGTGCCTGGACCAGGCACTATGTGCCTTTCTGTATATTTTTGGGAATCTTGGTACCTCTGGAAATGTAAACCTGTGTGTTGGTGGGTTGTCCGGCCAGCTGGCTCTTGCAGGAAGGCTGTGATTGTGAACCCCCAAATGATGTTGAAGGCAACTACACTAACATCTGCTAGCCTTTCCAGGATGTCCACATGAATGTGAGGTGTCATCAAATGTAAGTCATCTACAATGCCCACCTCCATGTCATCAATCTGGTTTCCAGGTTGATGTGCATGTACAGCCTCAGTCCACCTTCCTCCAGGTTTCCCTCCACAACAACACCAGTTTTTTGAGTAAGGATTTGTCCATCCTACACCCTGTGTGGTGCCACTGGGGGGAGTTGGTCAGATTTGTCATGGCAGGTGTTGTGCCACAAAATTGTGTCACCACGGCAGAAGGGCAGTCAGGCTAGCCTTGATCTCGGACCTTTCTGCCTGTTGCCCCTTTGTAGGGGACCATGCCTACCCCTTACGAGCTCACAGTCCCTTACAACCACATGTACAAGGTCACTAGAATCATTGTTGAGAAAACCCATCAAATCAAGATTTGAGAAGCCTCCCTAAATCAAGAGGCTATGCCCAATGAGGGATTCTCAAGGTGTGCATGAGACCCTGTGGGGTACATTTTGGGGGTCTCTGGTTCAGGCAAAGGCACAGAGTGGAGCCAAGGCAGAACCCTCAGCCCCAGCTGCAGCCCCAGCCCTGCAGGGGGTTTGTCACTGGAGAAGATATGAGTGACTGGTGGAAATAGCCTTCCTAGAATCCCCATTCTGCTCAGGGACTTGTGGGTTCTCAGGGATGTCTCATTGGGGTGGTGGGGTGGGGGTTCCCCCACCTTGTTGTGAAGGGCAGTGTGGCTATTTAACCTGTTTCCCCTCAAGTGTGCCCAGGACACTGGGGGCGGGGGTTGGGGGCCTTGGGAGTGTCATGGATGTGTTTCCTGCCCTTACTGCAATGGGTTGGAGAGGCAGGTGTTTTACCCACTCCCTACAGTGCATGGGACCATGTGGGGTGTGGGACTGTTTCTGGTGCTGGCAGGGGCACAGAGCAGAACCAGTCCCAGACACAGCCTGAGCTCTGCCTTTGGGAGCATCCATGGTGTTGGCATGGACCATGGTGCTGGAGCAGACATGGCAGGGGCAGTGAGCCTCCTACAATACACATGCTACTCATGGGCTGGGGGCACTTCCAGGGTGGTCTTGTGAAGGACAGGTACTCCCTCACTGTGAAGGGTTATGTGGGTTTTTAACCCACTTCCCCCAAGTGTCCATGGGAGCCTGGGGGAGGATTTTGTGGGGCCTCTGGGACTTTACGGGTATGGTTCCCCCCCACATGTCAGCTCACCCTTCAGCTATGGGGGAGAGGGGTGGAGGGGGAATTGAGGCTGCACCTGGGGGTTTGAACTGTGAATGCAGTGAGAACCCAGTCCTGTCTTCCATTCACTTTGCCTTAACTAGGTGCTAATGAGCAACAGCTGGACAACCTGCCAGGACTGCCTCATTCTATCAACCCCATGAACAGAAAGTTCTTACTCCAAAGAGCCTCCTATGGAGAGAAGAGGTGCTGGGGAGTCTCAGGGGCATGGAGGGGCACAGAACAGAGCCAGGGCAGAAGCTTTAGCCCTAACTAGAGATCATGGAGCACTCTGCTAGAGCAGATATGGGAGGACAGTGCTCCAACAATCCACATGCTGCCTACAGTCTCAGGAGGGCTTCAGCGAGGTCTCATGGGGGAGGGGTTTCCCCCCTTACTGTGATGGATGGTATGAGTGTTGAAACCTGCTTCCCCCAAGGGTGCACAGAACCCTGGGTGGGGGTCTTTTGGGGGTGTTTTGGAACCCAGTTTGATCTGATAGGTAGGGGCTGGGGGGGTGCTACAGGGGTATTGGAGGTTTCCCGTTTTTGGGGGGAAGGTGTGATATGGCCATGTAGTGATAGTGGGGCATGTGCGTATTTCTCGCTGTCCCCACTCCTGGGTGTAGGGGAACCTGAGGGTGAGCCTGCCAAAGTTGTGGTGGCCTGGCTGGATGGGGTCTCAGATGGCTGACCTCTTTTGGGGGGTGATTGGGGGGGGATAATGGGGTGGGAAAGGAGCTTGCCCACCTGCACATTAAGGGGTGCAGTATACCAATTGGTCCTCATTGTGAGACCACCCCCTCTCCCCCTTCCTCTGGCTCTGGGAAGTAGATTGGAGAACAGAGAAGCCCTCTTTTATCTCTGGGTGCAGAACTCTTTAGGGGTTCCTGGATCATGGGGTGGGGGGGAGGTCTTGTCCCCCACATCAGGAGCCCCACCTATCCATGTCCACCCATCTCCAGATGTGATTTCTGGGATAGCACAGTGCATAGCATGTCATCTACACCCCTTGCCTACATCACTCACTCACTGCCTCCCTCCTTCACTTTCTCCATGGAGGGTGCTGTGATAATTATATATATATAAATAAAAAAAAGATTGACCAAGTTGATTTCAATTCTGTTCCTTTACTTTTTCTTTATAACAAAGGAGATAGCACAGGCCACTCACTCACTCACTCACTCACTCACTCGCTTTTTCACTTGCTTGAACAGTGCAAAGAGATTATGCAGCATCTAGCACACCTCCTGCCACTTACTTCACAGAGCTACAGCAAGGCATAAAACTTGCATCAAGCTATGGCATGTATATTCATTTTAAAGAACTTAACATAAAGAACCTTAAAAAAGCACTAAAGTTTGAGCATCCTTGTATATGCCTGCCCTGCATGTGTATAGATTCCCATAGAATCATAGCAAATGATGGTTGGAAGGGACTTCCAGATGACATCTACTCCAACCCCAGTAAAGCATCCCTAGCTACATCATTCCACCCAAGGCTTTGTCTAGCCAGGTCTTAAAAACCTCCAAGGATGGAGAGTCCACAACGTCTCTGGGTAACCTGTTCCAGTGTTTTACTACACTCCTAGTGTTGGGTAAAAATGACCAACTCCCAGGATCCTTAAAATTCTGGTTTATTAGATGGAGTGTGCAAAATTGACAGTAAAAATCCATAAATGCAAACCTTCAAATTATGAGGCGCACTGTCTCTTAAATGCACCCCCCCACCCAACACACACACGCATGCATGCACGCATATGCACGCGCGCGCGCGCATACACACACACACACACACACACACACACACACACACTGTAGCTGCAATAGAGCACCAGTGTCAGGTATATGTATCCTATGCATTGAAGTCTGCCGTTGATGGCCAGTCAAGGTTTCCTCCAAGTGGTATTGTTTCCAGAAGGGGGTCAATGGCTGGTCCTTCTGGCTAGATGGGTAGATTGCTGGTCAGGTCAAGAGGGCACCACCAAAGGTCACTCTTCACTGTCTCTTATCTTCCCCTGGCAGACTTCCATGCTCTCCCCAGCTTTCAGATTTCCCCATGGGGGAAAAAGACAGGAAGGGGCTGCAGGGTGGATATGGCAGGGTGCAGAGGTAGTAGGAGGTTCAAGGGGCAAGCAGGAACTGCAGTCATGGCTGTGACCTTTGGTAGGGGTTGCAGCCCAAGGTGCAGTGGCTGCCAACCCACCCATCACTACTCTCCTACCTGATTGTAAGACAAGGGGCATTTTTCTCCATGTGAAATGGGGGAGGGCACCTTGTCTTAGAATCAAGTAGATATGATACCTCCCAGAGCCCTCAGGTGGTGAACTTCCATAAAGTTAAGTCACACCATTATCTTTTTTATTTATTTCCTTAGGGTGATAAGAGAGCAGATATTCCAAATCAAGGCCTCAATAAAGCATGATAAGAATACATGAAGAATACACTGACTTGATCCACTATAATGGCAGCAATTCATCCACCATAATGAATCCTTGCTTCCAGTACAAAAACTTTACTTTAACA